TTCTTTTAATTCCATGATTTCCAAATTATTCTCTCATGTTATCCTTCTTAAGCATTTATGTAACAAGAAAACTCGAAGAGTTATTTAATGTTGTTTTCAATTAACTATGATTACTTTTTTTTTTCTCTGAACATTGAACTTTGCATGTTTCAACATTCTTTGGTAACTAGAGGTAAAAACCTTAATGATTAATGAAGCCTATCAAAATGTGATGATTGATTTGAATCCGTCACTTAAGGATGTACTAAAGAAGAAAATTGTAAAATTGTTAAATGTCAGAACTGAAAAGTATTTTTAAGATCTTTTGCATTCTTACCCTCTCATTTTATATCTAAGGAAATAGAGGCTCAAAAGGTGAATGAGGTGTATAAGTAAATGTGGTAGAATTAGCAAACTTAGAATGCTTTAAAATTTGCACAATAGGAACTTTCATATTTTCTAACAGTTGGTGGTAGTATTGCAGAAAAACTTTTTTTTTAACCACTAGGAAATGCTGAAATATCAACTGATCAACTGTAATGGAAGTCAGTTTTAACTATTCTGATTACTCCATCTTTTCTGTTTAGCAAACATAAGATGACCTATGTGGTAGTCTCTGAGGGTCAAAGGGAAGGAGGCACATACTAAGGACACTGCTTTAGATTATTGCAGATTACGTCATTTCATAGTGATTGTAACTCAGAGCATTCCTTGTAGATAAGCAAATTTCATTCTCCCCTCCTGGCTCTACAAGGCCTGAAAACATTCCAGAAAATCTGCCTCCCTGGTGAGTGGAGCAGAGCTGGCTGTATTGAGCTGATGCTGGACCATAATCTGTTTTACGGTAACTTGGTGCAGAGCGAGTTTTGTCACACTGGTTCCGCCTTTAGGAAAAGGTCGGGCCTCAGAGCCCCGGCAGTTGAGTGAGGACGGGAGACTTCTTGGGTACACCTATTCCTGAGGTTTGGTCAGGAAACTGGATTAATGACTCTTCTGTCCTTGTCCTCTCTTTGCTACCATCCCCATCCCTATCTTTTTACTCTGCCATTAACAAAAACTAAGGTGATAACATTTCAGTTTTGACTTCTCTTTGTTCCAGGGGATTTTTAAGAGTGAATTTTACATTAAATTCCCAAAGTATTTTTGCGTTTTTTTTTTTCCATCTTTCTTGTGTTTTAGGTTATTTTGGATTTCAATCAGAGAATGAGGTTTCTTTGCAGCCAGATGCACCAGGGACATAAAAAAATAATATATATTCTCTTTATAGTCAAAATACTATATATAGTCATAAAATTGATCTTGTTGATTATTTCATTCAAATCCTTATTATGTTTCCTTTAGCTTATGTGACCTGCCAAATTCTGAAAATGTTAAAATACTCTACCATGATCAGATTTTATCATGTTCTTTTATTTCTAGAAGTTTTAACTCTAGGTACTTGATTGCTACATTAATCCATAAAATTTTTATCCAAAGAAATACAATTAGAATTGAATAAGTGCAGAGAGACAAACTATCCAACTGAATGAGCAGACTTACCATCATATAAATGACAGTTCTTTCCAAATTATATGTAAATTTAGTGACATTCTGATCAGAAACCCAACAGTTTTTTTTTTTTTGAGGGAGGGGCACTGGTTAGAATTACATAAAAAAAATCTTAAAAATACGAGTAGGGGGCCAGCTTGGTGGTGCAGTGGCTAGGTTCGTGTGCTCCACTTTGGTGGCCTGGGGTTTGTGGGTTCTGATCCTGGGCGCGGACCTAGCACTGCTCATCTGGCCACACTGTGGCGGCGTCTCACATAAAATAAAGGAAGATTGGCACAGATGTTAGCTCAGTGACAATCTTCCTCAAGCAAAAAGTTGAAGATTGGCAATGGATGTTAGCTCAGGGCCAATCTTCCTAACACACAAAAAATCAATAAATAAGAGTGGTTGGGGGTGGAGAACTTTCCTTATCATGTGTTAAAATTGCTATAATGCTATAGTAATAAAAATAATGTGATACAAAAACTATAGAATTAAATCTATTGGCTAGAATAGAACAGATTCTAGTATTGTAAGAAATTAATATGGGATAAAGACTGAATTTCGTTTCACTGGGAAAAGAAATATTTGATAAATAGTATTAGCATAGTTGCCTATTTCAAAGAGAACAAAATTAGGACTTTACACATACGTTTCTATGGATGAAAGATTTAAGTGTAAAAAAACAATGATCCTAGAAGAAAGTTTAGAACACTATATCATTTTGACATGGGGAAGACCTTCACAAACAAGACAGGAAGTGCAGAAGAAATAAAGGAAAATATTGACATTTAACTACATAAAATTTAAAATTTCTTTCTGGCAGAATACACCATAGATTATATCAAAGGCTTTGTCACACGTATGACAGTCAAAAAGTTGATATCCCTAACCTTTATAGGGAAACAGACAATCCAATAGAAAAATGAACAAGAATGTGAACAGGCAATTCACAGAAGAGAAAGCTCATACTGTCAAAAAACCCCACTAAGACAATGCTCTGGACAAGTCGGCAGGAAATACAAGTCAAATAACAATGAGAAAAATGTTTCCGTCTTTCTGATGGGCAAAATGTAAAAGGGCCTGGGCGCACCTGGTGCTGTGTAGAGAAACAGACCCCTTGTATACTGTGGTGGGTGTGGACTGGCATAGCATTTTCTGGAAAGTTCACATTCTTTGGCTTGGCGGTCTCACAGTTAGATCTATCCCGTAGAAATAAAAGCACCAGTGTTTACATGTGCAAGAATGTTTATTTTAACATTTTTTTTTATTGTAGCAAGAAACTGAAAAATATCTGTATAATATCTGTGTAATAGGGAAAGGGCTGAATAAATTGAAGTACATTTTGTACTATGCAATATTTGGCATCCATTGAAAAGAATGCCTTGGGTTACATGTATTGATTAGGAATAATCTTCATGATAGATTAATTAGAAAAGGAACACATTACAGAGGGATGTTAGTATGATTACATTAATATATATATTTTTATGGGTATAGAGAAAGATTTTGGAAGAATGTTGATTATCTTAGGTAAATAGGGTGGAGGAGGGTGACAAGGAGGAAACCAATTTTTAAAATATGTAGACCTCTGTACTTTTTGTCTTGTTAGAATAAGTTCAAAATATTAAAATTTATTTTTTTATTTATTTAACCCATAATCCACTCTTAATCTTTCTAATGTTTCATCATTCGCAATGAAGCCTGGGCTTTGCCTGTTTGCTGGTCTTTTGAAGCATGTGTGCTGCGCCTCTGAGGAGAGAACCCTGCCTTCTGATCCCTGGCCTCCTGCTTTCTAGCTCCTTTATCTGTCCTTCATTTTTGTGATCTATCCCTTCAACCACTTTCTGGCCAATATGCTGTTTCTTTGCCCCTTTATATTTCATTTATGCCAGTCTAGCTTGATAACTCTTGGAGAAAAATCACACAGTCCTACCATTTAATGTCTCTCTGAATTTGTGGTCTTCAACTTCAGTTGGTCCCTTACAGATGTGTCTGCAGCCCTTCTGTTTCCCTTGTTACAAGTGGTATTTCAGATACCTCCTTTTTCTCAAACCTTTAGCTCTGCCACCTCTTCTCTTGAGCAGCAAGTGGCTGTGCTACCTGCCACTAAACGTGCAGATTTCACTCTCTTGTGCTAAGGCTAACTGACCTGTGCTGGGGACCCAGCCCTTCCTGTCTCCTCCTGGGTGGAGGTGCTTGTGACACGTATTATCCCCGCTCTTTCCTGTACTTCCTCTTTGTTTCCTCATTCACACGTCCCCAGGAGTAAGTGTAATGGCCTAGAAGACCTACGTCTGATTCTTTGTTACCTCTCTGTTATACACATACTTGTTGGATGGGTAGAAGGAAGGAAGGATATTTGAGTAAAATAATGAGAAAGCAGCATGAGCTAAAGAGAGTAAGATGATTTCAAGAGTAAAGATAAAAGAAATGATGGAACAAACCCGAAAACAGCCTTACTTTACCCTACCCAGGGGCTTCTGGCCAGACAGGGAGGAGAGTAGGGGATATATTTTACTCTTACTGAGCAAATGAAGGTTTAGTTATTAGGCCTGCCATGCTATACCATTGTGATTCTCAGCTAGAGTTATAAGCCTGACGGTCATATTTTGGTATTTGTGTTCTATTTCACAAGTTTTTGAAAACAAATGAAAGATAAAACTTTATCTGTACCCTAGTGTTCCCCAAGTGTGTTCTGTAGAAAAGTAGCTTGGGGATAGGGTTTGAGAAATACTGAATTAGTTAAATCTTTGATGTGTTCAGGTGCTTTGTGAATTACCAAGAACAAGAGACAGTGTGGTGTTTTCCAACTTTGTGACCATAAAGCCCTTTTTTTTGTTGTTTTGAGGAAGATTAGCCCTCAGCTAACATCTGCCATGAATCCTCCTCTTTTTTTGCTGAGGAAGACTGGCCCTGAGCTAACATCCATGCCCATCTTCCTCAACTTTATATGTGGGACGCCTGCCACAGCATGGCTTGATAAGCGGTGCGTAGGTCCACGTCCGGGATCTGAACCGATGAAGCCCAGACCGCCAAAGCAGAGTGGGTGAACTTAACCACTGCGCCACCAGGCCAGGCCCCATAAAGCCCTTTTTTGCACTTCTCCCTCCCCTTTGCTGAATGTATGTCATGTGTCCCAAATAAACAGAAATAATACACAAATAAATATGTGGTACTAAAGAATTAAAAATAGAAGAAGGATCAGGTTGCAAGATGCACAGTAACGTGACTATTACGAAATTTTTATTCCCTGTCCGTTTTTGTGTTTTCTGTACATTTTGAAGATGGGAAATGATTTTTAAAATATGAAACTTGTTTTGACTAATGATATTTTAGAGGAAATAAGCTGTCTCGCAAATAAGCATAGTAGAGTCCTAGTGTGGCTGAAACTTTTTGTAGCACTGGAAGGTTATCATGTTATTTCAAGGTTCTGTTAGGATTGACCTGGATTTCTGTTATTCGAGTTAACGTTTTCTTATCCTCTTTTCCAGCGGTAGCCGATTGGGAGGCCTAGTCACAGTGTTGTGCTTCTTTTTCAACCACGGAGAGGTAGGTAGTCACCAAATGTCTTTAAAATCTTTAGGGGATTTAATTTCCAGAAATCCAAATTTCTTTTTTAGGAGTCAGTCAAATATTTTTAGAAATTTTAGATTTTACTTATAGACATACAGGTTTCTTCTTTAAATTTAATTTCTTTAAATTTAATCTATAGTAGCATTTTTCAAGTGTTTCATCTTATTTTGATTCAAATTTTAAACACTAGCATTTATTTTAACTTTTCGTGACCATTATATCTTGTAGGTGATGTATCTTTTAGTGATTTGAAGAAATAGTGGGTCTGTATCAATTCTTTATATAATTTAAAACTGTGAAAGCTTATGTTTTGGTTATAATAGAAATAAGCCAGCCATAGATATAGTGTAACCTCCTTGTGTGGGGATAACTTTTTGTTGTAGGAGCTAGATAGAACATTTCTATTTTAATGTATTTACATTAAACTTTGATATACTTTTAAGTGTCCTTTGCAGAATATTTTATTATACCTATAAATTTGCACATATCTAAAGGCTTTCTAAAGACAATGGCATTGTAAAAAGCATAGACTCAGAATCCAGGCTACCTGTGTTCAAATACTGGCTCTGCCATTTAGTGGCTTTGTGACCTGGGCAAGTCATTTAGTTTCATTTTCCTTAGTTTCCTCTGTAAATGGGTGTAATGACGTTACCCGTCTCATGGGATTATTGGGGAGATTAAATAAATTCATATGTGTAAAGTGCCTAGAATAATGTTTGATACACAGTAACTCCTATGTAATTGTTAGGTTGTATTATTATTAATAACTTAGCTTAAATTAAATTCTAATATAAATTCAAGGTGCCAATGAAATCCTTCCACTAAATTAATCATAGTTGTAAATGAATTTCTAGTAATATATCTCTGTCTCATTTCCTTTTATGGTAAGTTTTGTATGAGGGAAAGAAAAGAAAGATAAGCTTGCTTTGAGTGAAGTAGTAATCATTTTGTGTGTTTAGACACTAAGTGTCTACAGTATTTGAATATGCACATGTTACAAAGCTCTAAGAGTAGTCATACTAGAACTCAACTGTAGAGTCAAGGTTCAACTTTCTTCTGTTATTCAGCAGGTTACTAATGGATCTTGAACCATCACATACTTAGTGTTTAGAATCACAGAAATTTAAAGCTAGAGTGGCCTTACAGATTAGAGCATTTGACAAAAAAATGATTTCAATATGATATCAATTAATTGGCGTGGTCTGAATTTTGAGTGGAAAAAACCCCACAATTGTGTGGCTCTTTTTGACTATGGATGCTGCTCAGTGTTATAGTGTGGACCATACAACATTTAGAAGCACAGATTCTGTGAGAATGAGCTAAGAAATAGGAAGTAACTGCTTAACAATGGAAGAAAGCAGCACTGAGTGCCCACAATAAGATGTTGGAGGAAAGGGATTATTGAAAATTTTGAAGCCAAGACACAGTTTTTTTTTGAGGAAGATTAGCCCTGAGCTAATGTTCGCCACCAATCCTCCTCTTTTTGCTGAGGAAGACCAGCCCTGAGCTAACATCTGTACCCAACTTTCTCTATTTTATATGTGGGACGCCTACCACAGCATGGCTTGGCAAGTGGTACCATGTCCACACCTGGGATCCAAACCGGCGAACCCCGGGCTGCTGAAGCAGAATGTGCAAACTTAACCGCTGTGCCACCAGGCTGGCCTCTGAGACACAGTTTTAAAGACTACTGTCTGTTAAGCAGGAAGCGCTACTGTGTTAAACCTCAGTGTAAATTAAGGATAATTAATTTCTGAGCTTACATTTTTCTTATAATTTTGATACTCATGTAGCACAAACATTGTTCCTTACAAAGTCTTTTCAGTTTTTAACAATGAAATTCAAGCTATTCAGTTCATTTTTCAGGTTGGTAGATTTTCTTTTTGATACTTTTCAGCTACTTGGTGTATTTATGCTTAGACATCACTTTCTGCTTAGGAATAGGTAAACTAAATGTGATGAGAATTAGCAGTTTAACTGAAATAGTCAAGTTGTTAATGGTACTTATATCAGTAACTATAGCTATAGAGTTAGAAAAGTGACTGTTTTGAGTAATGACATATTAAAATGGAGAGTATAAACTGCAGTTGTGAGTAAAATAATGGTAACTCAAGTAACTGAAAACCATTTTGTTATAATTTTATATTTATTTTGGTTTTCAGATTGTGAGAGTTTCACACCCTATTTTTTTCTGAATTTTAAAACTGTTGCCCCAAATATATAATTTTTATATGGGGGGAAGCGTCTGCTCTGGGAGTACCTAGTCATGCATTTAGTGAACTTTATTCTAGAGCATCGACAGAATTTTGCTCCCTGGAGTTGCTAGTGGGTTTCTAATTGGTACCCTTCATTCTTAGGTGAGTTATTTTAATCATGTGAGTGAGTGGTTTATGTGCCAAAAAATAGTTGTGAATTGTTAACTTCCTTTTAAGTTCCATTTCCATTGTTTAGTTTTCTCTGTGCTTCAGTCTAAGATAGACGTGATATACTTTTTAAAATATTCTCTCAGGTGGTTTTACAAGGGAAAATTGTTGCCTTAACAAAAAAACTGCAAAATGTGTAGTAGATAAGATTAATCAAATTATTTAAAACAGAAATTTAAAATTCGGAGCTGAAAGGTAAAAATGCAATAAAGGAGCTATTAATTGCTCACAGTAAAGATCAATAATATTGAAGTTATACCTTTCATAATAAAAATTATGCGGATGTTTTCACTTATCAATCTTTTTAAATTAAATGTTGATTCTGTCCTTATTGAGAATTATTGCTAAGATGAAAGCTAACAATTTTGCCTGCCTTTGAAATGTTCCCTTATAAGGTAAGATGGATGCACCATGAGTTGATTCTGCAAGATTTTTAGCATGCTGATTGAAAAGCCTTTAGATGTGTGTATAAAAATGGAAGTACTGAAAGGTTAATTGTTAGGCTCAAGGTTGCTAAGCTGAATCTTTAATAAATGTTTAGAAATTGTTCTTTCAATGAAAAACATAGCAGAACTATAGATCAGCAATTTGGCTTTAGATTCTAAGTTTCCTGATTCACCAGTCATGTCTCCAGACTTCTCCCAACACATGTGACTCTTAGATAGGGGCAGGATTTCAAAGACAACACTGTCATTCATCTTTTACCAAGGACAACTACAAACTTCTGTCCTTGCCAATTTGTGGGACTTTTGTTTTTTCTTTTCTTTTCCCTTTCTCTCTCTCTATCTCCTTTTCTCTTCCTCCCTCCCTCCCTTCCTCTGTTCCCTTTCCAGTGATGGTAAGGTTTTGGCCAAGACATTTATTCTGGGTCTTCAGTTTGTTCGACTCAATTAAAACAACATATACTGAGGGCCTACTGCATGCCAGGTACTTATAGATGCTGGGGATGTGCCAGTGAGTAAAACAAAGACCCTCTCCTTGTGGATAATCATGTGAAAGTAGGACCATCTTTTGCCTAAGATGAGAGAGTACCCGCCTATCTGGGGAGTAGTGAGGAGGCCATTGTGATGGGAGCAGAGTGGAAGAGATAAGGCCAGACAGTTAATAATGGGAGGTGGGATGTGGAGGGAGCTGATTCTGTAGTCCCTTTTAGTCATTGTAATGTTTATGTGGAGCAGATGGAAAGGCCGTCTTTCCACTGGAGGGTTACACAGAAGAGTGAAATGATTTAAATACTTTTTACATTAGTTTGGAAAATAGTATAAGTGCAAGATGTATTATTTATTTAGGCTATTGAGTGGTGTGCCTATGGATTTGTGAATTTATGTTGAACTTACATTAAAAGTCCAAAACCAGAGAGTGTGCTAATCTTAGCTGGGAATGAATCTGTTGATGTGGATTTGAAAATTAGTCTATAATGAAGCAGAAAACTAGCTTACAACGGCCTTCATGACTTGGCCCCTGCTATATATCACCACTTTCCAGGCTGTTTTCTTTGCCTCAGACCTATTGTCCTTTCTTCTTCCATTTCCTACAAAGGTCCATTCCTTTTCCTTCCTCGGTCCATTCCTTTTCCTTCCTCAGGGCCTTTGCACATGCCGTTTCCTATGCCTTGCATACTTCCTTTCCCTTTTATCTCCTAGCCTGTGCCGAATTAACTCCTAGTCATCCTGAACAACTGGGTATTTCAGTATGGGTTTAAGTGGTGTTCTTCATTTCTTCCTGCAGATCTGGATTTCCATCTGGTATAATTTCTCTTTAGCCTTAAGAACTTTATTTAGCATCATGGTGAAGATCTGCTGCCAACAAATTCTCTTAGCTTTTGCCTGTCTAAAAATGTCCTCATTTTGTGTTTCTTGAAGTGTATTTTTGCTGGATAAGAATTCTAGGTTGATAGCTTTATCTTCCAGCACTTTAAATACATCATTCTTTTGTCTTCTGGCTTCCATTGTCTGATGAGAAGTCAGCTATCATTCTTTATTGTTGTTACAATGAGTGATGTGTCTCTTCTGTGGTTTGAAGACTTTCTTTTATATTTGACTTTTATTGGTTTGATGGTGATGAACTCAGATGTGGTCTTCTTTATATATATCCTACTTAAGCTTCACTGAACATCGTTATTTCATGGGTTGCCTTTTTTTAAATCAGTTTTGGAAAATTTTCAACAACTATCTTCTCTTCAAATGTTTTGTCTTCCATGCTCTCTCTCTCATCTTCTTTGAGGATTCTAATTCCACGTATGTTCAACTTTTCATGTTGTCCCACAGGTTTTTGACACTCTTCCTCTTTTCTTTCTTTGTTTTTTCTTCCTCCTTTGCCTCCATTTGGATATTTTCTCTTGCTGTGTCCCTGAATTCACTGATACTTTATTTTGTTACATTCAGTCTGCTATTAAGCCCATTCAGTGATTTTTTCATTTTAGATGCATTTTAATTTCAGAATTTCATTTTTTTCCAAGGCTTTCATATTTCTGTGGAAAATTCCCATCTGTTCATCCATTCTATTGATCTTTTTCTACAAAATGTTAAACCTAATTATTATAGTTAAAGTCCT